CAGGCAGTACTTAGACCTGTCCTGAATATTGCAGTTTTTATTTGTTTTCATCTGTTCCATCTACAGACGACTTTCTTAGTCAGCTTCCCTCTGTCTTCCACCACCCTGAGTCTGTCTGCCTGGCACTGAGGTTTGTACACTTGAAGGGAATGGATGTGGTCTTCCTTCCTGTCTTTCTGCTCTAACAATACCCCTAAGGGTTCCTTGAAAGAAAAATAATATGGCCTTTTGGGTTATGTTTGTTTTGTGTCTGCTCCACCAGAGCCAGGTCTGCCCCAGTCCTGAAATGAGGGTTTGGAGTCCAAGACATGAAAAATAGCCCATAGGAATTTCAGACACTCATAAAGTTTGTAAACTAATGATCTAGGCCTTTCATTTTCTTTGGATAGGTGGCAATCCAATGTGTTGCATAGAGCCAAAGGGAATTGTTGAAGCACAAGGAAAAGCCTTTATTTAGACTTTCATTCCTTGAAATGCTAGACAACTTGTCACTCTCCAATAAAAAAATAAAAAATAAAAAGACCTCTGTGTATTGGATGAAATGGCCTTCAGATGGGCAACAGCCAGACAAGCTGATCCATGAGAGGGGTAGAACGACATGGCCAGGAAGCAATGGCAGACAACAACTGCAGCAAGAGAGACAGGATGGAATGAGGACATGGCCAAAAAGACAAAAGAGAAACAACTCACCAGGGAGTGGTTAAAAGTCCTTTCCTGTGCACTACAGTGGAAAAAGCCAGAGGCACCAAGAGCCCAGGTGACAGATTTAGATTGAGAACTCTATAAAAGAAATAAAGAAGAAATTCCAAACAGAGCCAAACTCTAGAGCAGCCTGGGTGATGAACCATGGCCTAGTCCCAAATATCTCACCTCTTTCTTTGGTATTTGAAAGAATGTCTGCTATTATTCACTTAGGTGATGATATTATCTCTAGAGTGCAAACATTAAAAATTACATTAATTAAAAGGCAGGTGAAAGGGAAGGAAAGTTGTCAACAGAGGAATATGGATCAATTTTTCAGATTAGTTGATACTTTGGAAATCTGTGGATGTAGTCCCAGGAGGGACAAACAGCATGGGAAAATGTGTTCCTGTGACAGCACCCAGTCACCTACAGATATATAATCTTATCTAATTGTCTTAATTTCACTTTCTGAGCGCTTCCTTTTTTAATGATTTTTTTTTCTCTTTTTTATTTTTCCACTCCTTTTATTAGCACCCATGAAAACAGAAACATTTGCCTATTTGCCTATGTGTGCTCAAAGCTTGGCACATTGCTGAGCAGACAGTAAGCTCTGAAGAAATATATGTTCAATGACTGATGACTGCTTGAATGAATAAATGCAGAGGGGAAAAATAATGTAGGAAAGATCCAGAGGTATGTTCATGCATGTGTGAAAGAAGATAGGCAAGGTAAGAAGGTAAGGTATTAGAAACATGGGCAAGAAGAGAAAAGTGAGGCTTTGGGGAAAATGGATACCTAAACTCCGAATAGAAAGAGGATTAACAAAAGTGAACTTCACACTATTACCTAACATGGACCCTAGAAATAAAACACTTATGATGTCCTAATCTGAAAGGGGAAAGGAACAATGAGCTTTTACTATATTTCAGGACTCGTGAAAGACCCTTAAAAGAAGGCATGAGTAGTGCCTGCCATTTCTGTATTTGGCTTAAGCTTCTACAAATACTCTTTGTAAAAAAAAAAAAAAAAAAAAAAAAGTGATACAGAACTGGGCACTCTTAAATACCTGTTTTTAATTTACAGAAATAACAGTATTTTGCTGAACTCCATGGTGGTCCTTGTTAAGCAAGTGTAAGCATTGGATGCTAGTAAAATAACATAACTGTTGAGAACACAGTATCTAACAGAGATCTCAACCTAGGTTGCTCCCACACCCTTTCAAAGTGTATGTTGCTGACAAAACTGGAGGAGGAACCAGAGAAAGTGTACCCCATGTATTCTATTCTCTATGGCACACTTGCCAGAACTGCCGGGGGACCCCACTCTTGTGAGGTCTATGGAGAAAGCGGGTCCCTCAGGTTCTAACATGGTGTGCAAAGTGTTAAACCCCACCAATCATAGCCTGAGAAGCCAAGGGAAACTAGACCACGAAGTCCACTTTGAATTAATCTCAACACAACAAACTAGTATCTCAGAGCTCACTGTGAAGACAAGACTGCTCGATGAGAAGGCCCTCACTTTAAAGTGGGAAAGATAGCCATTCCAACAGTTGTATAAACCTCAACACAGAATCACAAGAAACATGAAAAACAAGACTACACAGTTGCTAGTAAAATCCTGTGTGCAAGCCGTGGTGGTGCCATTCAAGACTGGCTCCAAACTTTGCCTATAGAAATAGACAAGAAGATTCCCTGAGAATTTTAAATTCTTTATTACTTCATTTCACTAAGAAATGAGGGGGTAAAAAAGCTTATCTAGGAATAATTTCATATGTCTGCCTCACCTACACAGAAACTGAGTCAGATGAAGGTGAAGGAATGATAATGATAGCCCTGAATGTTTCCAATATTTTATAGCTGAAATTTTTTAATCCCTTGCTGCATTTGTTTGTTTTTTTTTTGTTTGTTTGTTTGTTTTTTGTCTCTTCCACAGTGTTCTTTTTCATTTAGTCTTGTTTTGGAGAATGGGAAGAGGGCTGCTTTCACTCAAAGGCAAGATAAGGACCCAGGCTTGTCCCCACCAACTAATGTTGCTTTAAGGAGAATTATTTTGCATGATCTATCCTTATTATTCTCTTCAGAATATGACCTCTGCTATTTTTTTATGTTTCCTGACTAAGCAGTTAGGAGCTGGGTGTAGCTCAGTAGTACAGTGTTTACCTAGCCAGTGAAGCACTGGGTTCAATCCTCGGCACCCCATAAAAAATAAACAAACAAATAAAGATATTGTGGGCATATATTACTAAAAATAAAAAAATAAAAAGATTAAGCAGTCATCACATAATTTTAAAAGACAAAATCAGCCTGAAATGTTGTCTAATATCTTGTGGAAGAAAAAGTCAAGAATGGAGGAAATAGTATCTGTGGATTTGTGAAGGCAAAAAATGAAGAACATAAGATCACTCATATTTTATTTCCTGCTGTAATGAATATTGCCAGGTTACATCTCAAGAATAAGGACAGCTTGCAGGCTAGACCCTCTATTTTTCTGAATTGTTATCACATTTCCCAAAGTTATCAAAAAGGTACTTTGTAATACTTTGAAAAATTAAGGTATTCAATTTTGTGTACCACCGACTATGTGAGAAAGATGTTCATTCCTAGGAGAAAAGAGATGTCTTCCTGGTTTGAAGGCTTATGACTAGTAATAGCATTTCAAAGGCGTGTCACCAGAAAGGTTACAAGTTGTGGATAATAACAGGAAGAACTGTGTTTCTTTGGGTTCAGACTTCTGAGTATACATTTATATATGATTAAAAGAAATAGAAATTTTAAGTCATAACTTCAAGCAAGTGATTTTATGGAATGAATTGGCTATTACAAAAAATTCTACTCAATAATGCTTTGTTCATTCCATAGCAGTGCCACCCAGACACTGTACCAGATAATGACCCTACTGTACAATCTAATAACCTTTATCCATACAAGAGTTTATTTCCTGTCTCCTGACATATGCCCTTCCTTGAATGTCAGAACAACTATTCTCTATTCTTCCTCTTTTTTCCTTTACTGGCTCTTCCTCTCTGGGAGCTTATCAATCTCCCTTACTGGGCACTCACACTCTGCTGGCCATTATCACTTAAGTGAATTGAACATATTAATACCTCCTAAATTTATACCTACATTTCTGACCTCTTGCCTGAGTTCTAGACTCTGAGATGCAACTGACTTTTCAACTGAACTCCCCAGGGTGGCTAAGACACATCTCAGAATACACCATGTCCAAAGCAGAATTTGTGATCTCCCCCATACACATCCCTAAATATGTTCCTTCCCTCAGCCTCCTTAACATTCAATAAACACCAAGCTATTCTTCTGCTTGCTAAAGGCAAATCTTGGAACCTTCTGTGCTTCTGCTCTTCCTCCCACACCCCTCATTCCATTTGTCAGCAAATTCTTCCAAGTGTTCTTGTCAATTCACCCACATGGGTCAAGTCTTCATCATCACAAACCTGCTCCTGCCAGTAGTGTTTGTCCCATGTTTATCCTATATCATGTTTGGCACAGAGTGAGTATTTTTTAAGAACTAGGTCAGATCATGTTTTTCTCTGTTTGAACCTCATTTATGGTTTCCAATTTCAGTGTGAATCCAAATAGTTTGTAAGGACCATGTCCATCCAGGCCCAATAGAATCTCCAACTCATCTCCAATCACATCCTCCTCCTATCCCTTCTCTCTCTCTGAGCTCTCAAGCCCCTCTCCCTCTGTTCCAGGTGGACTTGCTTCCTTGTTATTTCGGGAACTCTTGGAGATGGATCCATATTAAGGTCTTTACACCCGGATTTCCCCACAATGGAATGCTTTTCTATCAGGTATCCACATGGCTGCTCTCATTTCCTTTCAATCTCCTTTCAAATGTTATCTTATTAGGTACTCCTGTCCACTTTATTTAAAAGTATCAGAAACCTCCCCATTGCCCTATTATCTATCTCCATTGGTCTGTGTCATTTTTTCACTGATTTATTTTTACCTCTTTATAGATATTTTTTATTTCTATCTCCTTTCACTAGAAGACAAAGAAAAAAACAGACACAAAACACTACAGTGCTATTAAATCAGGAACTGCTGTTGTTCTTCATTGCTCTAATGTCAATGTTGAAACATAGCCTGACCTTCCTAGCACATCTCTTGCACATCTATGGCACTCAAAAAGCATTTGATGAATTGAATTATAATGGACCATATAGAATATATAGTTATTTAATGCATAGGTGAATTTAAAATTCTAAGTGCATTCATAACTAAATTCTGTTTGGGGTTAATAATTCATTTATCAAATAAATGATGACTTTAAAATAAAAATGATACTGATATCCATTTTCAGCATGAAAAGAACAGGTTCGAATTTTGGTTCTCCCGCTTACATTAGCAAGTTCTTACTTTGACAAGTAACTCATTTTCTTAGAATGTCACTCTTCCAATGTGTTAAAGGTTGGCACAGTCTAGGATGGTATTAGCAGTAGCAGCAGCAATAATAATTTCTCCTTAAGTCACAGAGTAGTACTTCCCCTTTGGAAGTCAAACATTGTAAGATTTTTCAGCAGGACATTCAAGTGGACTTCCCCAGAATCCCTTCCTGGACCAAGACCTAAAATAAACAGAGGTGGTGAGAATAGCTTGTGCTAAGAATTTCTCCCACCCCAGGCTAGCATTATTCAGAGAGGAACTCATTCCCATAATAATTCCAAAGGCAACCAAGATGGATCAGGATGTCCTATATCACAGAGAGAACACAAATTTCAGGGTAGAATAAGAACCAGGCCTCTAATGCTTCCCAGAAGCCTGGACCATACCCAGTGAGCATTCTCTGACTGGGCAATTAAATGGAATTTGGTGTCTACAAATGTGAAAATGTTGCTTTGCCATGTATATTCAAAGTAGTCAAAAAGTGCTTCCTGACAGTAAGTATGAAATAACAAACAATTCATGATTCTCCTTAAAGTCAATTCTTACTCCTTATGTATCACTCCTCATTGTTTCTTAGGTGGATCTCTTTCTCCTCTTTTTAAATTCCCTTTCCACCATTGAAGAGCAGAAGGCTGAAGCTCAGAACATGGTCAATGTATACCTTTTAGAATGTGTATTTACCCTTTGTGAGACAAATGGATATATTAGAAGGTACTATTTTTAAATAAATAATTACACATACTCTTAGCAGATAGTCAAAAAGAAAATGATCTTCACTTTTCTTGACCATTTCTATTCCAGGGAACAAAGTACCAGCCTTAGTCAACAGTGTTGATCTGTCTCAGGAAAAAGCCAGAAGAGTTCCAAGGCAACCGTATAAAACTCCCAACTGGGAGAGGGTAGAGACATAGGTGTGTATGGTTTGATTTTTTTCAGATGGGGTTGGGGTGTATAGGTGGAGCACCAGTCATTGGGCACAGCTCAAAGCACCATTTCATAGAGTATAAATAACTCTGGCAATGGTCACAAGTGTACCCTGGAAGGACTCACCATGACTGCCTGCCACCCCAAAGCCAAACCTTTTATAAAAAAAATATACAAATGTTACTATAGAAGTTATGACTACATAGCGAGGCTCATCCAGTCATTTTACCTTCCTGAGCCAGTCATCAGAGGGCCAAAAATGTCCCGAATCCAAGGTGATGCGTAATGCTGCCGTAGGCTGTGCAGGACTGCCCAGGCTCACCCTTGTCCAAGAGCCAGACCAAACTTCACCTGGCCAGAATCTCACAAGAATTAATGGTGTTTTAGAGAAGGTCACTGGCAGGACCTTAGGAAATGAGAGCCCAAGACATGGAATTAATTGTCCAACAGAAGATTTCACATAAGGAAAGAGGTACTTCCTTGTCTGGCTGTAGGATATGTGGAGGGAACGGAGCCCAGGAATGCACGAATGTTTTTGAAAGTCCTTGATGTGGTTTGAGTTAGGTGAAAGAGTTTTTTGTCTCCCATCACTTAGGATTAAATAAATTTCTACATAAATTTTATTTCTTTTTTTTTCTTCAAAGAGGTTTTGTATGTTTACTGGAACTTTATACCAAGAATAAATGAGAGAAGCATATAAAGAAAAGTCACTGCAATGGTTTGGCTAGAAAATATAGCAGGGACCTCTTTTGCTAATGGACAGCATCATGTTTGTTTGGTCATACCATAGCCTGAAAAATAGAAGCCTTATTTTTTCAATTAAGATGTTGGTAGCTCTATGGCAAGATCCTTGTTGGGTATTCACCTTCTGGTTTTCTTTAAATGTTACATCCCTATAACAATGTTGGATGTCCAATATGTCTCCATGGAATGACAACCTAGTAGGTATATTAAACCAGTGTACAAAAAGAATCTAAAGGGCTGGTGTTGTAGCTCAGTGGTAGAATTCTTACCTAGCACTGTGAGGCCCTGGGTTGGATCCTCAGCATCATATAAAGATAAATAAATAAAATAAAGGTATTATATCCATCTGCAACTACAAAAAATATTTTTAAAAAAATCTGAAGTTGAAGCTTCCTGAATATATTGATACCCAAAGGGAAGCAAGAAAAGTCCTATTCATTAATTCAGCTTTACTTATTTGTCTAAGATGTGTTTCACGTGCTCACTCTGTGCCAGGGATTATGGGATGTAACTCATCTAAGGACTAGGATATAAAAAAGAATGATTCAATTTCTGTCTTGAACAGTTTAAGTCTGATATGGGGTAAGGATAAGCAGAGGAAAAGGGGAGAAGAGTAATGTCATATTTGTATATTCAGTTGGTGGTTAAAACAGTAAAGAAAGAATGAAAGAAAAATGGCAAATAATTCACTCTTCCCATTGATTCTAAAAGACTTCTAATGATATATCTCTTCAGGAGCCACACTCATCAAACCTCAGTATCAGAAGAAGTAATGTCTACTCAATAAAGGGAAACATCCACATCACTAAGCTTGTTTCTCATTTGAGATGATCTTTACAAAGCTTTCTTTTTCCAGGGAAAAATACATAGCACTGAAGAAGCATCTTTGACCTTAAAAAATAATCTATTTCTCACCTATTGTTTGTCAACTCACCAGTCCTTAACAATAAGAAAATAAACTTTATTTTATTTCCTTAAAACTTACCCTCAAACTTAGTGGTGTAATACATACACATTTATTATATCCCTGTTACCATGTGTCAAGACTCCCAGGATGGTTGAATGGGGTGACTTTAGCTCAAGGCAGAAATTCAGGCTTTTATGAGGCTGCAGTCAAGGTTTTGTTATGGCCATGATTGTGACATAACTGTTTATCACTTTGACTGTAATCTATTTGTTAGATGTAGTAGTTGCATCACAGGCAAAGAGAGGATTATACAAAATTGTGAATACTAGAAGGCTAGATCACTGGGGACCATCTTAGAGTTTGTCTACCAGCAGAAAGAGGTTGAAGTAAAATCTGAATGGCATTATAACTCACCTTATTAACACATGAACAGAACTTAGCTGGGAAGTAAATCTTACTTCCCATATGGATAGACTATTTTTCCCTCCAGATATGTGTGAATTATTGACATATAACAGTAATTTGAAGAGGAGACTTCTTCCTCAAGCACATCATCAGTGAAATAATGGAACACTTCAAGGTAAATCCATGCATTCACATACTTACCTATAGATACTGAAAAATTACATTTCTAAAAGTGACTACAAAGAAACCAAAATGTTTCAAACTTATTTTTTGTCTGTGTGCTTCACACTATTTTCTAAAAAGCCAGCTGAAAAAGTACACACAGGAGAATAGAAACTTTATTTCTCCATGTTCTTGGCCTTTTGATATTGATGCCTGGAACATTGAGCAATTTCAATTTGTGGTCTCTAATTTTCTCTTTAATAAACAAAGATGGGAATGAGAAGAAAGAATATATTTTCTCAGTTTATCATATTTCCTTATTTGTGTCCCTTCCATTACTTCTTCCTGACTGTTGGTTCATTCACCTCAGTGAAATTTTTAAAAAGTGAGCTTCCATTCTTCCATTTGAGGCAGTTTTATGAAAATGGCCTTGCTTTCCCCACAAGATTATTTTTCAATGGTAACAATGGCTTTATTAATAAGTAATAAATTCTTCAGTGATAGCTTGACACCTATGAGGCTTCAACTTTTAAACTCTCACCACAAATTATGCACCAAAAGTAACTTTATATCATTTAACAACAGTAAAGGATACTTTTCACCTGTTTCTAACTCAAACATAGTTTAACATATTTGTATCATTTTTCAAAATAAATAATTTTTTTGGATACAAGCCAATTGTACAAAATTTCTGCCAAAAGATAGGTTTCTACAATATTTTGTACAAATTAAAATAGGTCTGCATGACTTTGAGTATGTTTTAAGTGGTCTGCATCTTCATATTTGTTAATTCCAGTCTCAAAGTTTTCTTGCATGCTGGATATAGCCCATAGGTATTCCACAGGTATTGCAAACTCAAGATCCTCCAAAATAAACTCATCTCTTCCCCAAAAATTCAACTCATAGAAGTATATGGATCATGAGCAATTATTTAAGAATCCCAACTCTCTTAATTTATAGGAGTTTTAGGAAACTTAGAGAATTCAGATTATTTTTCTAAGACATTTTGGGTTAGAAACCAGTATCTTTTCCTTCCTCGTTCCTCATTCTTTTGATTCCTCTGTTTTTTATTAGTGACATTGTACAAACTCCTTTTCACTATTGCTCAAACCATCAAAATCACATTTGTTATGTGCCCTTTATCTATTGTTAATCACCTGACAATCTTTCCACTCAGTATTTTTAATTCCTTCTGCCACCATGCTCATTGGAATCCTCATATCTTTCCTGGGGGCTGTTGAAATGAATTCCTTTCTGGTTTTCTTGATCTCTAGTGTTCACCCCTACTCTGTGCTACTCCAGATGGCAAGTAGAGTGGTGTTTTCCTTAAATAGTTCTGATCATGTTGTAGAGAGTTCTCAAGCCCAGATAATCTTCCATGTCAAGCAACAATACATTCACCACAGGCTGCCATTCAAGGGTCAGCATAATCCAACTCTTGCAGACATTCTCAGCCTCATCCCTCATGGTTCAGTGGTTTCCTCTTCTCTGTCTAAACTGGTACACTCTTTTTCCATACTATAACTTATACTCCTCATTTTTGTCATCTTTTTTCACTTCTAAGACCAAAAAACCTAGAAAGAACAATTTTATATGAGGAAAATTTTATTTGGGGCTCAGAGTTTCAAAGATCTCAATCCACAGATGGCTGACTCCATTCCTGAAGACCTGAGGTGAGGCAGGACATCATGGAAGAAGGATGTACTAGAGGAAAGCATTTGGGGACATGGCCACCAAGAAGCAGACAAAGAAGGAGCTTCACTTCCAATGACAAAATATATATGCCAAAGGCATGCCCCAAATGACCCACTTGCAGCCACATCCTAGTTGCTTGCCTACAGTTAATCCCTGTCAGGGGATTAATGTACTGGTTAGGTTAAAGCTCCCATAATCCAATCATTTAACTCTGAACTTTCTTGCATTGTCTCATAAATGAGCTTTATGGGGACACCTTACATCTAAACCATAATACTCCGTCATCTACATTTGTCATCTCTTCTGCCTGGAATAATACCTATTTTCAATGAGATAAAAAATCCTGACCATCCTTGACCCCCAGTAAACAACTTTTTCATTAAAACTTTAATGATTTATTCAACTAATATGAACATTAATTCATCTGAAACTTCCTCAGCATTGTTTCTGCCCTATTTTTGCCCTAATTAAATTCTGTTTAGTTTTTGAGGTATACCACTACTTCTTTTTGCAATATTATGAGGTTCATAAGGGTTAAGCCCACGGGTTATTCAGTTGTGTGCTCCCTATGCATAATTAGTTGGTTCTTATACCCAAAAGGGCTCAATTTATTCAAGTAGAATAAAGGTTCATCAAGTTAATGAACTTAACCTCTCCACGAAATGGAGTCTAAACCTGTCAACTTCTTTTTCAAGCACCCCCATTAGAGGTATTAGCAACTTCTTTTACAGTCCTCTTGAAAGCATTTGATGAAGACAGCTGTTCTTTTATTTGTGTCTGTCTTATTCATGGTCTTACCTATGAGAAGGCCAAGGTTTGCAGATTGTTGCACAAGGCTGATAATGTGATAAGACTAGGACAGTATGTGTGTACTTTCCTCCCTCTTAATATTGAGTCATATCAAGGTTAGCACTGAAAATGAGGTGTAGAGCTGAATCTCTATTTATGTTCTATAGGTTTTGATTTTATTATCAAATTTTATTATTATTGATTTTATTATATTCCTCCTGCATTTATCAATTAACCTATAAGCATTTTCCCAGGACTGTCACTCAGTAGGAATCTCATTCATGAGGACTATCACTACAGCCCCTCCAGTATTGAAGTTCAACCTTGACCCTATCACTCCATTTACCTTTTGAAAGGAATAGTTAGTTCTGTTCCATATAACTTGGTTGTCTTTCTCACTCCACCCTCAGTGAAATTATAGAATACCAATCAACAATTTTTAAATCTTAGATTTTCTCTTCAGTCCACAAAGAATCATCATTTCTTTCATCATTCCTTCTTATTTCCTAAGCTTCTCATAAACCTGAAGATGAAACAATAGAAGCTGTCACATACATATTTCTTTAAATATTTAAATATTCTTGTAGGAGGCCAAGAATTATAACTTGTCAATAACATCATGTGAGAAGATGATCCAGGCAAACCTGGGGCAAGTCTTCCCCCATATATTTTACCTAATTTCATTCAGATTTATTCAAAGTAGAATAAATGAGGTTGAATTTTCCAAAATGTTACATGAGCCATTGAGAAGAAAATGAATCTCAAGTTAGCTCAATTACCTAGTTAAAACAAAGTCATTACTTGCAATTTGGTGATATGTTATATTATTGGTCATAATGTCATCATAAATATATTTCATTTGTCTTGAAATTTGAAGCATGAATGGAGAATATACCACAATGATGAGTTGCAATATGAATATGTAACTAACTTTTACTGGGCTTTCAATGCTGTTCAACAGTTTCCTTTATTTTTACATTAGCACTGTATTGAATTACCCATCTAGATCAAATTTATAAATGTTTTATGTATACTCAGGGGCCCCCTCACCTTCTATGTTCATAGCAAATTACCTCATCATTCACTCTGCTATGAGGCTCAAGGCTACTTAATGGAAATACTCTTAACTATAACCTTAACAGGAAAATTCTCAAATTTTATTTACAAGGTATTGCCATTCACAAATCAAATATTCAGTTCCTTCTCCTACTCACTTTCCCATCCCTTTGAAGTTAGCCATGTGACTTGCTCTTGCTGCTAAAATACTAATGTGTCCCTTTCAGCAAGAAGATGGAAGACTCAGTAGATCATTTTCTGTGTTCTCTTTCTCTTAGCCACAGCTCTTGACCTTGCTCTGAATTTTGGCTATTTTGTCATATTGATTCTTAAGGTAGAGGTAGACATGAATCAGCCTAGCCACAATGAATGTGAACTATGAGCTACAAGTAAATCTTAGTGTTGTTAAATTGCTAGAAAAACCTAGTCTAGGAGTGATATCAGGGAAAAATGGTGGAGTAGATATCTCCAAAGCTTACATCTCCACAAAAGCTGTAATGAAAATATCAAAGACTGTGAGAATCAACTTTACCCAACTCTAGAAACTAAGGATATACAGTAATCAGGAAAGCGCTAAACCAAAAAAAAAAAAAAAAATCCAAATCTCAGTAGAAGTGCTTTGTGGCATTTTAACTTACCCTGTTCACATCACCCATTCCCAAGATCAGAGACAGTCTTGGAGATGACTGCTACATTCCTGGTACCAGAGGTTGTAAAATAGAACTTATTCCCAGAAAATTGTGGTGGCTTGTTTTGACTTGTCTGGTGGATGATTGGAGGAACAGCTCCAATGATTTGCCTTTACCTTACCTAATGAAGAGCAACCCAGGGCTGAGGCACTGCCAGAAGACATTTGTCAAAACCATTTAAGGCAAATGTATTAGTATATGCTATCTGAGACACAGGATAACAGTTAGGCAAAAAACAAACTGAAAAGCTTGGCAGAAAAGGCAAAGAAATGAGATAGTTTGTAGAAAAATAAATATATTAAAGAAATTCCAAATAAGTAGAAAGGATCCGTGTTCATACATTGAAACACTTAATATTGTTAACAATGGCAATATTTGCCAAATTGATCCACAGACTGCAAAAAAAAAATCCCTATCAAAATTCCAAACTTCTTTTCTTTTTTATTGATATGGACAAAATGAACATAAAATTTGTATGTTATTTCAGGGATACCAAATAGCTAAAACAATCTTGAAAAGAAAGTACAAACTTGGAGGTCTCACACTTTCCAACTTCAAAACTTATTTACAGAAGTACAGTATTCAAAACAGTGGGTACTGGCATAAGGGTAGGCATATAAACCAATGGAATAAAACCAAGAGTCCAAAAGTAAACTTTTACATCTCTGGTCAATTAACTTTTGACAAGATTGCCAAGACAATTCAAAGGGTAAAGAGTAGTCTTTCTCAATAAATAGTGCAGGAAAACAAAATAACCACACACAGAATAATGATCTTAGATCCT